AATTAAATAAAATTGCCCTTATGACTAAGGGCAAAACCAAATTACGATTCAAAAATATTAAGTGGAAGAATTCCAGAAGAAACCAATTCGTAAGTCTTAAATGGCACATCATCCTAAGCAGTGTGATGAAATGTCCTACCAGTCCACTCCATCCTGCTGGGGATGAGAATCATCCCTTTTTCCAGGTGTCCCTCTGTGTATGTGTTGCTCACCCGTTAGTCACATGGTAGTGGTCTGAGTTATCAGATCAGCTGTCACAGTACTAAGTGCTTGTGTTCAAGTCACTGTTGTTTTACTTGATGACTCCAAAACATGAGTCATGATGCTGGCAATTTTATTAAAGTATGTTGTTACATTTGGTCTGCATTATTGTTTTTAATCACTGACTGTGCCTAATGTATAAGTTAAACTTCACCATAGGTGTGTAGCTATAGAAGATATAGCAGTTGGTACTATATGAGGTTTCAGGTGTGTAGTGGGGTCTTGGAACATATACCCTGTGGATAAAGGGGTGCTACTATGCCTAAAATCACAGAAGTACACTCCTTTTCCTTTACAGAAAACTGTCATCTACCACATGCAATTTGCCCTAAACATAGTAGAACAAATGACCTCATCTTTGAAACACTAATAATTTTTAAACAATTTTTACCAAAAAAGTAAGAGCGCCTTAAACAGGATAGAAAAAAAGTCACATCTATCACAGAGAGACTAAGTATCACGTCCAAGATAACATTCTAAACAGATAACATTCTCTCAGCATCAGAGCATTTTAGGTAACCCATACTGTTTTCTTTCTTAAAAGCAACAACAACAGCACAGACAGGCTCTGGAATAGGCATGCTAAAGAAAAGTCATTTTGTATTTTTTAACTTAAAAAATGTGTTTTATTGTGTTAACATTTCACATGAAGTCCACACTTTTATAAAAACTTAAGTGCACAATACAGCACTGCTATCTAGGCATGATACTGTTCTTCAGATGAACTTCATCTGTGTAACTGAAATTTTACAACTGTTAAATAGTCGCCCATTACCTGCACCCCAATATCACATGTGATATTATCACGTGTTCCACGTGCCCCTCCACCAACTCAGTGCTTGATTACACACAAAAACCATTTGTGGCTGAAGTAAACCATCCTCATATTCTGAATACATCAACCTGAAAGTAATGATGATGGTGGTCAATGGCCTATCAGAAATACTCTTTCACTAAGAAGGAGGCTACAAACTAGTAGCTCTCGGGGAGTTTTTTATTTAAGAAATACGTTAGTTGCCAACACTTGGAAATAGTATTTCACACAAAAATTTGTACTTGTCAGTTTCTCTAGGAAACTGGTTTAGCGGCTGTGGCATTGCATTCACTTCCACATGGCCGTGATGAGCTGGAGCTGAATAGCTGTGGCTCCCTTCCAGTGGACAATGAGCTTAAGATTGCCACTGTCCCCACAACCCTATTCGTTGACGTCTGAGCTGACCACACCATGAGTTGCTGCTATAATGTGTGCATGTGTGATCCCTGCACCAAGGTGTAGCACTGGGAATGTCCACTGGTATGCATGCAACCTGTCATCTCACGTGCTTTCTTGTCACTCGCCCGATCGTAACAGAATGTGAATAACAGCATAGTAGCAACAGTCTTTACTGTTCTAATTTATTTTAAAAATTACATACAAACTTTGGTAGTAACACGAGTAGCAAACAATACTTCAACCTCAGTTTGACCACAACACAAAAGAATTGAAAACTCATGTAAGGAAAAAAAAAAACAACTCAGTTCACGTAATTATACATTTGTAAGAATACTGGTTCCTAACTATATTAACTATCACCATAAAAACATGAAATTGTGTTACCATGTGAAAGTATCTGAGGAAAAATGTAAAATGTTGAGCCCTTAGATCACAAGCTAATTTAAACAAACATTAAAATGGCTGTTATAGCAGAACAAATTTCCCAAAATAACTTTGTCTCAGCAGACAACAAAGAAATGTGTGCTGGGGGTAGGTTTCTCTACTTCTAGAGAAAATATATCATTCTGAGTGAGTATGACATCTAAGAGCACATATGGTCCATCTTATAACCTAGAATGATAAAACTGCCACCTACACATTCATGCATATGTGCACACGAGAGCCAGGCTTCGCTCAGATGGCATCTCACATGCACAGGTACATGCTTGGGCTGCCATGATGAGGGGACTGGTCATGTGATCAGCTAGTGACCTCTGACACATGCTGGAGGGTAAGTACTGAGAAAGACTATGGGTTTGTCAACCCCACTCTATACGTCCCCAGGTCTCACAAGTAAGTTTTCTACATTTAAATTTCCTCCCACTCTTTAGGTTGCAGGGTTACTGTGAAGAATAAATAAACGAATGCAGAAGCAGAAAGCACTTGGCATAGGCCTTAGTCTGAATGTAAATACTCGAATGTCATTTTGTAGCACAAACTCCAGCCCTCTGAGGGCATGCCTTACATGCAGAGGGCATTCCGAATTCACGGCAAAAGGTTCATCCAGGGTTCTCAGAAACTACTCTCTGCGTGAGTTTTCACAGTGAAGTAAGCTTGCCGGCCGCACAGAATAATTGCGATAACACAGCAAATGAAGAGCATTCTAGGCATTTATTAAGAGACAATGAGGACTCGTGTACAAATGCGTGATGGCAACAGTTTTATCTGCAATAAAAAGTTCTGACAACTGAATTCAGTTTAAACACTTTAATCAACTATAATAAATTAATAATCATATACAAAATTCTGATTCATGCATCAGATTACATAAATTATATAATCGTCACATTATATAATGTTTACATACTTCAGTTTGTACCTGCAAAAATGTATACGAGTTACTAGAGCATTTACTTAAGAAGGTAAGTGCAATACTCTTCAATTCTAAATGCTTATATCATTCCAATACCTGCTAAACATAAACATTTCTAGATCTGCAGCATTTTTTTTTTTTGTACCATCTGGAAGCCTCGGAGATTAAATAGGCCCAAAATATATCACTAGTTAACAGACTTCAATTCCATTGTAAGAGTGTATTTTTTGACAGAGAAAATAAATGAAATAAAACGTCAACTCTAGTTTAATGCTTGAAGAGCTTCTACACTTCTTATTAAATACATCAGAAAACCCTTCATATGCAGATTAATTAGTTAAGGTGCTACCTATTGCATATTAAATACTTCCAATGAGTGAATGTGGATTATTAAAGTTATAAATCTGTGAAAATGGGGGCTTTCGATGTGTGCTGACAGACCCTCACATCTACCCCAGGAGCCAGAAGTGTGATCCTCTCCCTCTTACTCCAAAGACATCAAGCAAACCCACATGCTTTCTAATTCACTTACACACACAGGTGACGCCTATCTATCTACAGGACACGTGAGTACATGAACATCAAAAAGTTTCTGCTTGCTTTACAAATCCAAGGTAGGTTGTTTTTTCTAAAAAGCTACAGAGGAAAATGAAAGCTCCAGTTTTACGGTTACTATAGAAACAGTAAACATAGCAGCTCTTTTTTTTTTTTTTTAAAGATTCTCCCTGTTGAAGAATAAGCACCCTTATGGGGGTAGAAGACAGAGGTGCATGGGGTGGGGACGATGGTGAAGGAAGGATGTGAAAAAAGCAGGTCTGTCACTAATGAGCTTAGTTTTTACTTAGGTTTCCATTCATGAAACTCTTTTAAGTACAAGGCAACATTTTCACAGCTGGAAAATTACAACTAAATTCTGATTTACTGCCAAAAGCAATAGATGTAGTTATGTATAATCTATGAATAATACTACACTTATGGAAGGAGGGCAAAACTAGGTTCAATGCAGAACATAGCAGCAAAAAGCAATACCAATAAACACTATTTATGAATGGGCTAAACAATATACAATCCTAAATAATGACCCTGGCATTCAACAAGTGAAACCTGAGGCCTCAGTGGTAGAGTGGCATCATTAATACTTTCAGTTCTGACTTCAGCCCAGGGAGGAGAACCGGCTATAATACAATACTGTTTTTAAAACAAGGGCAGGAATAGTTTAATTTTGTAACAGAAGGGCGTTAGTGTAACAGGCTTGAGATAAATACTGATTCTCTAATTTTAAGAAATCTTGGTGGAAATGGTTTTAAGCATGCATTTTTAGGTATAAAAGCGGGAGTCAAATCTGCATATAAATCTATTTACTATGCATTATTTAGTGAGCACATGTATTTTATTTCCATTTTTAAGCTGCTAGCAGTAAACCATTAGACTACTTAAGAGTTATGTTTTGGAAAAAAATAAACTAAGGTGATCTTTTTTGGCCTTTTCTCCACAATGCCAGGAATTAAAACTACTGTTTGCACTTTGCTCAAACACAGAAAACACTGATATGTTTTACTTGGGAATCTGTTTTACTTTGTTGTATCCACTGATGGTGAAAATATGTAATAAGTTTACTCTAGGTCAGGAGTAAAAATTCAGCATCAGAACAGAACATTCTCAAGCAGTGGTTAAGTGTAGACTTAGTTCCAAATACAAGCTTTGCCTCGGATTCTGAAGATTAAAATATTGATTCAGTTACAGCCAATCACTTATATATGGATAAGTCTACTCCTTAACAATTTTTATAGAGCAAAGAATTGCTCCTTAAAAAAACATCCTCATAAAAAAGAATAGCAGTATTTGAGCTTTATTTATGGAAACATATCCCCAGAAAGAAAATGACACTGTGGCTCTTTCTAAGAAAGAATGAATTTGGCTAAAGCATATTACAATATCTACAGATATCTGCCATAATACTGAAGACACATGGATTTTGGTGTTTTAAAAAGTTTACGAACAGCCTCAATAATACTGTAAGATAAAACGCGAAGAATTTTGTAACATTTAGTAAGTGTGAATTTAAAATGGCATCGTGTAAAAAATAATAATTACCAAGGCAATAAAACTGCAACAATAAAACCCTATACTAATTTTGAAGTTTATTTCAGAACTTTAATTATGAGTGGAAGAGTGCGACAATAAAACCCTATACTAATTTTGAAGTTTACTTCAGAACTTTCTTATAAGTGGAGGGAAAATTGATAAAAGATAGTTTTCCTTCGCTGTTTCTTAACCTTAGAAAAGTATTTATATTTTTGCATTTGGGAAATGTTCACAATTTCAAAATACATGCTGTCACAGGAAAACTAAAGAAACTCAGAAAACACAGATAACAAGGAATTTTAGTTTAAGAACCTAAGTTTGGTCTACTCTAATTTATAATATTGTTATAAATATCTGGTTAAACTTTTGATGACGTCTAGCTAGTGATAAATATCAGAAAATGCAGTTTATTAAAGAATTAGGGAAGACAGTATCTCCACATGGAGAGGAACGTCTCATTTTAAATTTAGAAAGACATACCACCACTGTGTTTCATATTAAGTATTTTAGATTTTAAGGTTAAAAAAAAAGCAGAAGATCAGCAACATTTTATATTATTGTTTTCAACTTAAATTTCAGGACGATTTTGTACAAGTACATAAAGCTAAGCCATGGAAGGAATCAACGTTTTGGGGGAGGAGACTTCAAACAGAGCTCACTTTTAAACGGTGGACGTAGAGTAGTACACAACATCATGCTAGAACGCACTTCTGTAGTTAAGTTTTATTTTTGTTCAGAACCAAAAGCAACCATCTGTTCCATTATTTATGAAACTTGAAACCAAGCCTAATTCTTCATTCCTAGTATTTAACCACTGCTTTGGGTTATCAGGCACCAGACGATCAACTACGTTTTTTTCACCCCAAATTATTTTCAGATATAACTTTTCTTCTCTTTCAAATATAATATTTTCTTTGTTAATGATTTAAAGGCATGCAGAATTTCAACAAAACAAATCGCCATTAGCTTATCTTCTGTTTATACCTTAAATAAAACTTAAATGTTAGGTAAAAACTGACTGAAAGAAACTCATGCAACTGTGAAGTTAATGAAGTTTCCTAAAATTTGTTATTCTTTTAAAAAGGATGTTAGGAGGGTAGGGGATGCATCTCAATGGTAGAGCACTTGCGTAGTATATACAGGCCTTGGCTTTGATCCCAGGGGTGAGAAGGAGGCCTCAGATCATGAGTTTTGGAAAAATAGTAAAAATTTGATGCTGAAATCATACAGAAGAGCTCACTTGGAAATCAAGGTTCACAGAGTCAAGAGTGATCTGAAGCAGCTCCTGCTAACCAGGGCAATGGTAGTATGATGACTTCCACATCCACAGAGCAAGCTGACATTTTTAAACTAAGGAACTAGCTGGTACCCTAAACGCAGAGGCAACCAGTTGTTTTTAACTGTACTAAGCACACATATATATGAGGTATGTGCACATATTTTATATACAGAGTTACATGAATACTTACATTCATGTACATACACTTGTATATAAAACATGAACTATTTTAGCAGTGTTTATAATAATGAGCAGTATTCCTGAAGCTAAGTATGTCTACAAACTGACTTCTCAGAATCCAGCCACAGTATCAACTCTGCTTTATGAAAACTCTACTCCTGAGGAATAACTTGTGGACTTCTGAAGGTATTTTTGGGCCTATGGCAGATTGGTGGACCAGCACCCAAGTGAATCCTACAGAACAGCTTATTCATCAAGACCCTGACCCATTTTCACTTTAGAAGTTTAGAGTATTTTGCTCACTTCAAAGGTCACCCTTGATAGTCCCTGCTACTATGTACAGGTAAAACAACTTTTTACAATGAAGGAGAGTATGCAAGAAAACCTGATGCATGGTCTCTTCCAGTAACAAGTTTGTACTTCTCTTCTTTCTCTCATGCCTTCTTTCCAATGACGACAGCAGTGCTCTGGGCTTCTCTAGCTATTGGAGAACTTGCCAGCTTTCCGGGACGGTTCGTATGGCACTCTGAGAATGCTGGGTGTCTCCTCCATCACCCTGACCAGGAGGTTGTCGATGTAGTCTTCCAGCTCCCGGATGTGGGTATCCTTTCTCCGAAGCAGTTCTTTGTGTTTCACCAGCTCCTGCAGTACCTCTTCGTAGGTCAGGCTCCGGAACCCTGCCGTGGCGTCGAAAGGATTGCTGTCCTGCAACAGGGTACAGGCTGTCATGTCAGCAGACAGGATACCAGACATAGACATTAGGGATTATTCGGAACATCAACTTCTGGTTTTTCTAATGCTGATAAAGTTTTCCTCCATCCTCAGCTAGAACTAAGGTGACAGCTCTGGGCAGGAACAAGGACAGATGCACCAAAGTCTTGATTACAGCTCTAAGTTCTAAATCTCTTTTTATGCTGTGAACAACTTCCTAGTGTCAGAGACTGACCATAAAATTTAAAACTAAATTAAGAGATGAGGGCTGAAGGTGTAACGCAATGGTAGACTGCTTGTCTAGCTCGCACAAGGCTTCGGGCTCAATCCCGAGAGAGAGAGAGAGAGAGAAACAGAGAGAGAGAGAGAGAGAGAGAGAGAGAGATGAAATGCTTCATAATTTAGAAAGATAGGTTAAGACTAAAGACCACTATGAATTAACTTGGAGGAACTAAAGGGAGTTATTTAAACCTACACAATGCACACTGGTACATCAAACCTCATGGAACCACTACCACTGATGGCGATTTAATGTTGTGCTTTGCTTTATTTAGTGAAGACAGCTATAAGAAGCAACAATACTCAATTTGTTCCTTCAATTTGCTATGAAATGAAGTGAAGGCACTCAGAATTAAATCAATGAACATTCTTATAAAAAGCTTCCTGGGAGTAACTTCTGTTTTAATTTAGAGGTAGGCAGAACTTCTCCTCCTCCTCCTACAAAAAATACCTATCTAATTAACCTTATTTCCCTTTTTGCCCTGCTTATCAGGAAACTCAGAGTTCAATAACAACCATGTTAATACTTATGGTTAGCATATCTGCATTCTCTCACATTTCATTTATTTACTTAACCTTGTTCTACTGAGAAAAATCCTTTTAAAAACAAAAGTATAAATATAACCAAAAAAGAAAGAAAAGGGTATTGATTTAATTCATTTTTATTACAAAGAACACTAATATTAATGTTACATCAAAATCTAGGGAGAATACCTCTCAGAAATGAAGAGAGGCACTGTGACATTGTCCCTTATTGCTATTGTGCAGCACTGAGAGTTTTCATTATGTAAAATGCCCAAATATAAAGTAGCAATTTTATGCCTTTGAAACATAGTTCTATCACTAAACCCAATAACTTAAAATAATTTTCAGCACTTTTGTTCAAAACGTTTCCATTTGGTTTTAAGGAAAACCAAATGAAATACTGAGGAGACTGGTTTTCTTGCTCCTAAGGAGTGAAAGAATCTAATCTGTTCAGTGGAGGATGCGAAATTGGGACTGGTAAATGTAGAAAAAGACCTTTGTCCATAGGAACGAAATGTCTTTCCCCGTTCTCAGTGTCTGCTTTGATCATGTTGTGTGGAGAACTTTTCATCCGCAAAGCCAAAGTTGAACTGTTCACCTGCCCTCCACCCCAAGGCACCATGCCGTTAGCAACACAGGAGAAACAGAAACAAGAGTACAGGTACCACTTTAGTGCTTGCGTCACTGAAGCCTGCTCCTTTCTCCAGGATAAACAAAACTCAGGACTGAAGACATTCCTCTATTCCCTAGGACACTGGACTTTGTGGAGAAGACAGTCAGACACTAAGCCTCAGAGACTGCAGGCACAATGCACAGTGGCCATTTCAAGCTGTGGGGTCTGCCTGCTTGAACCTAGAAAACAAGGTTCAAGGCACAGTGGCAGTAACAGGCCAGCAGTGAAGCATGCTGGAGAACAAGGAACAGACAGGGAGCAGGGAGGCTGAAACGGTAGGTTCCAAGTACACCACCCGGGACTTTGAATGCTGTCAGGAGATTTTAGAACTTTTCTGTAGGAAATAAGAAACCATTGAAGGTTTCTAAACAAACAATATGACTGAAGCTATATTTGGAGAAAATTTAAATGGCAAGAGTAGGTCACAGCTGAGATTAGCCTCAGGCTGCTGAAGTGTTAGGAGGAGCTAACAGGCACGAATAGAGAGCACACTAAAGGGAAGCAAGTTTATTGTTAAAAACAACTTATTTTATTTTGGCATTAGAAACTGGGAAAAAATGTAACTTTGAGTTAATATTAACTTTGCCCCTAAAAATAATTTTACCTTTTGTTCTCTTTCAATTAAATTTATACACAGGCTCTTATTTAATTGGTCATTGGTAGTTTAGATGTATGTAGCATATTGTTCTTAATCATATTCTCATAAAGCATTTATTATATTAAGTACTCTTCTAGCATAAAGACAAGATATACCATACAGATACGTATTTTTTTTAAATCTGTCAAATATAAGCTGAAGCTTGTACTTGAACCCAAGTGATGTTGGATAAACTTGAGGCAGAAATCAAGGTAGGTCTCACTTTCCTTATCTGATGAATGAGAAGCTTCCCCCAGTCCCTTTCAAGTCTAAAATCTGAGCTGAATTTTTAGAAGTAATGAAGTCCAACTAATAAGGTTTCATTTTTCTAATAAAATGTTTACTGAAAACTGGGAGATCTTGTGAGAGTTGCAGGGATTAATGAAATTGAACTAGATGAGATATGTTACGATTGGTTGACTGCTTTATGCTTTTCTAATAACAGCATTGGTTCCACTCTACAATCTTAATGAAATTATACATAAATGAACTGATTTCTTCAAACTAATTAAGTGATGACATATAGTTAAAATCATTTATACTGTTATATTGAATTCTGTATCAGTAATACTGGTTAATGTACTTAAATTTTTAACATTTTACTAAACAGAAACTAAGAATGAAAGATATACAAACTTCCTCACTTTGACATAAGTAGTTTAATGTCATGAGATAAATCATACTAATCTCTTAAGGTCATGTGTTATTTCGGAATACTGTTCACCATTTGATAGCCAAATTTAAAATACACAGATGTATTATTTGCCTTATTTTTTTTCCCTCACAATGACCTAGTACTAATGTGTAAAGACTTCCTAGAAATATATTTCTTTTCGTTTCAGTAAAATTCCACTTTGTCCTTTTAGGTGAAAAATTTACCCCAAATTTCAGCATCAAGTTTCTGGGAGGAAAAACATCTTAGAAACACATGTACTATAAACTATATTGTGGAAAAGAATATAAAATAATTAAAAACAGCTTCAGACTTAGTTCCAGATTTTATTCAATATTTGAAAACCATGTAAACCTTCTAATTTTAGATGAGATTCTTAAATTGACAGATTGCTCAATAAATATATATATCCTTCTGTTTATAACTTCAAAGAAAATACTAAAGATTAGTATTAACTAGTATAAACAATAGAAAATTAAAATATTTCCTGGTTACAAAAATTAATTTGCTTAAAAAGGAAAACTCTTTAAGCATGGTGTTCTTTTCAAATGATACATTTTCTACTGTTCTTGGAAAAACTGAAAATTAAGGAATCTCCAAACTGGTAAAGACCAAATGCAACCTAGAATGAGCCCTAAGAACGCGATACTTTTCCCCACAGCACTGCATACAGATGACAGCACATATGTTTTTAAGATGTCGTCCTATTTTGAAATTTAATGTAAATTCTTTCTTTCTCTTTCACAACCTATCCTTTCTCATTCCTACTCCACCTCTACTAAGGAAAAAAAAAAAAAAGGGTCCATATGCAGATACAAGAAAATGGGGATTGGGTGAGGAAACAACAGAATTATTACATGAAGTTTTTAATCGGAATTTTACAAGAGTTTTGCATAAGACTGAGAATTACTAGCAATCTATTTTTACTTTACACATAATGTAGACTTTTAAACTAGGAAATATGCATTTTTTACAATATTTAAATTTGAACAAAAGCAAATTATCGGGACTCCAAATAACTGAAGATTTAAAGAAAGGTTGTCCTGGTAACAAATATTGGTGGGGTACTAGCTGACATCCAAGGCAGCCGGGGGGAGAGAGAGGAGATGAAGGCTTGGCATTCTCCGATCATCTCATTATTGTTCTAATGAGGAACTTTGCTCTGGGAATATCATCTCAGCTACTTTCACATCTTTTGTCCTCCTCCCTTCATCTCCCTTTCAGTTCTTAATTAGGCCTTAAAGAGCTCACACTGCCCTTTCAACTGGCTACTGCTCCTGCTTAAACACCGCGCCTTCACCGACAGGTGTTGGCACCAGCACAGACGACATACAAACTTAATTACAAAATACTACGTCCAGAAGAGGAGAAAATAACTTGGTGGATGGCTATTACTGGAGAACTTCATGTAAATTACTTCAAACATCTTATAATCTTCAACATAAAAATTGTTCAAATACTTTTCCTCAATGACAATCAGTGAGAGGATGAGCTTTCTCCTCTTAATTGTATCTTGCAGTAAATTAACAACACCTAGTAATCCTTTAACTGTCGTTTAGAATAGTTGGTATTCCACAGAAAAATAATCACACATCAAGGATTCTTTTATCACCTTTAAATCCTTTAGCTAAAACAATTTTCACGTTTTATTTCTTTAAAGAATTCTAAGGATGCTTTTAAAGCAATAAACTACAAGATTCGGAAAAGTACATTTACAAGCACATAGAAATTGTAATTAAGGTTACTTAATAAACAATAGCTACATGTTAAATCGATTTTTTGATGTTGCATTTTGTTTGAGATTAAGTAGCAGCCTGACAGAATTCATTTTACTATCTGATCAAAGGCTGACTTCATATATTCTGACATTTCTTGCCAGACTGCCATATTATAAAGACTTGAGTATTTATGAAACATCAAAACTTATGAATCATTTACATAAAACAGCAAAGACACAGCATAAAGTCCTGTGCTTCTAGAATGTTTTCTATAATTTTAAAGATAGATAACTACACTTAAAATAATTTTCTAAAATAAACTTTAACCCCACTTCAACTTCTTTAAGCAATATCACATCCTAGAAAATTGTGATTTAAAATCACTTAAAAAATTCTTATTATACATCTGGATCACACACATTAAGGACAGATGGTTGGAACAGCAACCATCAGCCTCTTGAAATAAAGGCTCTATTTCTGTTAGTCAGTGAGAATTTAGTTCTCTACCAAGAATATTTGCCCATATTTCTGTAAAGTGACTTATTCCCTAGGTTTAATACATCTAGAATTGACTGCCGATGCAGGGGAACTCTTGAAATCCAGCATTGGACTTTAGAAAACAATAAAATGAAGTTCATATATCTAAATAATCCTTGCAAAAATTTAAGTCCATTTAGCTTAACTGGTTGCTGACAATCATGGATATATTTGGTTTTGTTCTGACTTGGAAGATACATGTCAAGTACTTGTTTTTTCAAATACTTTCCTGGCTACCTGGGTCTCTTGCTAGAAATGCTTTTGCTATTATTAAATGTTAACAGCTTTATTCTTTCTTCAGTCCTTCTCCCAGCAACAACCAAAAGCATGGATCTTCTGCACATGTTCTTATTTCATAACTATAATGCTGACTTTGACATATAGCTCTCCTGTTGGTTTCACAACAATCTGCAAACAAAATATGCATCCTAGTTTGGCTTCAACTGTATCTATGCTTGCTTGAACTTTCACTGATCGTATCAGAAGCCATACTCTTGTATATTAAAAGGCAAAGTCTGAATTTCACTTTCTTTCCTTCTTCTCAAACTACCAGGCCAGTCTCTAATTCTTCTGTAACTTACACTTTCAAGGGGAAGGAGGCATTTTTAGGAATGTGTGCCAGAGAGACGGCAGCAGGCTTGTTCTCTGACCCCTCAAAAACTTACCGGGATTTTCCTGAGGTCTTCATTGCTTGTCGGATTCATAGGAAAACTAAGTAATAAAACAAAAACATAACCGTTAAAAGTGTGTCATAGTCCATATGGGAGGAAACACAAAAATAGAAAAATTTTAACCAACATTGAATAAAAATTTCTGAAGCCATAACTTACTCAGATGAGCTACAGAAGGACAAACAGTATTTACTCTATTTTCTTAACACATGTATAACTGTAAACTCTGAAGGAAAATTCTCCAGTTAACAACAGAATGAAAGAATCATATATCTAAATAAATAGTTTCTGAACATCTTTAAGCACAGTGGTTTTACTCAGTAAGAGAGCTTATAAAGCTAGTTTTTATAATATGTTATGCATTTTACATATATACACTCACCTCAGGCATTTCTATATAACACTATGGAGAATTAAGGAACCTTAGGTTTGGAAAGACTATAGAATGAAAGAGTTAAGCCACTCTGTTTAAAATTAGCGGTATTGGGAAAAACTGACTTTCAAACATTACCCTATCAATGAGAATGAATTTAGAGTGGTAGAAACCAGTTCTGTCATTAATGAGATTTCTAAGTACCTAGCTTTCAAGATTTAAATACCAGACTGAAATAGACCAAAACAAAACAGATTTCCTCCATGAGAATAAGAAACATCACAGCTGAACACTACAACCATTTTCTTCTTTGAAACATGTCCATTAGGAAGGGGCCTACAGCCCAAGAAATGCTCAACTTCAAAGCCATCTGATGAGTAAATATTTCATCGGTCCTCTTCAAGCTTAATTTTTTCCCAACACTTGAGACTATTACCCTTAGAACCGCTACAAAGCATTACTGTCTTAGCAGTCTTTTTATTACACATGCATGCACACACACACAGACTAAACTATAAGTATATTATTTTTTCATTATCTGCGTATTATCAACAAAATAACTAGAATCCTTTGAAGATTTAAGAAAATCACTTTTAAAAGTCTTGACTGTGTGACAGAAAGTATGGACACCGGATATCCTGTCTGGAACATATTTATAATTACGGGTACATATCATATCACATCCTAAGCTGCAAAATCTACAAGGCATATGTACACATACAACCATATCAAGAGAATTTCCCATATAGTCAAAGGTTCACTTGTTACAACTGAGATTTGTAGAAATGACTTCCCAAGAACTGGCAGCTGACTTTTCCTAGGTAGAGCCACTGTGGAAAAACTTAGTATTGCAGTAGAGGTGGGTAACCCGGAAAACAAGAGTGAAACCTACATTGTGCCACTGAGGCTTATGTGGCTGCCACACTCCCACACTGCCTGCCTCTCACCATCCTTATGACTTTCTGCATAGCCCTGGACTAGTCCCTGCACCAGCTAAGCCTCAAGAGTCTGACAAAGAGTGACTGAGAAGAAAACAATGACAAAAACAAATTCCAAAAAGCCATTATCACAAACTCTCCCTTGGTCTGCAGTGCCCTAGGAGCAGTGTGACTTCCATCATCTCCACTTCTCAACCCACAGTAGTGGAATGAAGGGTCCTCAGGGACCAATCTCTCCTTGCCCCATTCAAGAAACACATTCTGCCACATTCCTCTCCATCTGACTGAGGTATTCTCAAGGACAAAATGACTTACATTTAGGTTTGACAGTATACCAAGGTGCTCAGGAGCACAGAAGGGGCTGAGGGTCCTGCAGCCAGGTGGTATGAATTCAAATTCTGGTCCTGCCTTGCACTTGCTGTGTGACTCTAAGGGAGTTACTTCACTTTGACTGTGTCCTGGTTCCTTCACCTATAAAACAAGGTTGCCAAAAGTATCTAAAACATCTAACTGCTGTGAGGATTAAATGAGTTAACGTGGAATCACTCAGAACAATGACTAGCAGATAGAACGTGATTCCACATTAACTCATTTAATAAACATGTAGCACTTAACCTGTGCTAGACACTGCTTTAAGCACTTTACCAAAATTAACTCAGTCTTTTGGGGGGAGGTGTCACACAGTCCCATACTGTCATTTTAAGCATAAGGGAGCAAGTTACAGAGAAGTCAAGCAACTTGCCCATGGTCCCTCTGCTGGTAACTGGTAGGCCTGTCCTTCTCTGGAATCTGACCTCTCATGGTGACACCCAGCTCTAGTCCTGTTCTCCAAAGACAGATCTTCCTGAGCACTGGCTGCCCTGAGGAAGCCCTGACTATGGACCATACAGATTAGTCTGCCAGTGTCACCTCATCCTGATGTAAAGCTGCATTTGCACCAAGCAGACTTGATTTAATTCTTAAAAGCACATGGAGAAAAGCAAGGCTCTCTTTCAGCAATTCAGTAAGGAAGGCCTACATCATAGAAAAGACAGGATTTGAGATTACATGAATAACAGATATAGCCAGCTAGAGGAGGGCTCTGTAGACATAGGCATGGCGGTGTCACTTCAGGCCACAGGAGATACGAACACCAGCTACAGGGGGGCAAGGAGTTCCTAAGTCCAACCTTAGGACCTCAGACCCAATCCATGGAACAAAAGGCAGTTTTTTGACAAGGTTAACCTTTCCTCGTGTTTAGCAAACAGAACACCAGCTACAGGGGGGCAAGGAGTTCCTAAGTCCAACCTTAGGACCTCAGACCCAATCCATGGAACAAAAGGCAGTTTTTTGACAAGGTTAACCTTTCCTCGTGTTTAGCAAACATTTCATATTTGGGGGTATAAGCTGCTCCACTACATCCTTGAGAATGAAAATATTATGACTAAATACACTTCAGTATTTTTCTCAGGAAGAAATCACTGAACTAAGAAATAGAAGTATGTATTACTATGTACGCCCGCTTATAATATGATGTTACACTATTAAAGGTTTTTTAAGAAACAGGCATTTAGAACAAAGATTTTATCAAAACGACAAAACTAACAATAGGAAGTATACAGTCACTTTCGCCAATGGAGCTCAAATGGAACTCACTGACTGCCTGCAAAACATCTGAGGATTTTTAAGGCTGCCCTGCGAGGGGAGGCATGTGCAGTGTGGCACACCCCAGCCCCTTCCCATTGTACCTGGGCGTGTGAAGGAGCTGAGATCCCAGCTCCGCACAGTACACTCTGACTGAGGCGCTCTCACTGGCTATTGTCTGGAATCCAAAGGCCAAGCCCTGCCTTGTGGTCTGCTTTATGCACACACACTGACGTGTCAAACACATGACCAACTCAGTCATTCATGGCTGCCTTTTTTGATCTATCTTTACGGGGGAAAAAAGAGTTAACTGAACTGGACTGAATTAGCTTGGTGAAAAATAAAATGTCTCTATTTATTGAAGTGTGGCACCAATTTGTGATATCTTTCTTTTTGTACTGCTGTCCTCATGTCAGACAAGATATCAAGTGATACAGTTGACTGCTCAACTGAGTTGTGACAGGTTAAGGAGGATGCCTAAATACATTTAGGCATGCCTGCACTGCAAAAGAAGGCTATATACATTGAAATTCCAAAATTTCAGAAATTTAATTTTAGAACCAAAAACATTTCGAGCTGGGAGAAGATTTTAAAATAACCAATAAAAAATATTTCAAATTAATATGCTGAAAAATATTTTCAACTAATAAAATGTTTTAACCTTAACATTCTGAAGTTTTTAGGCAAAGGCCTCAATATTTTTATATTGTGATATTTGCAAATTTTAAAGAATTTTCCCAAGTAATTACAATTCTAAAATTTGAAACATCGAACTATTAAGCTATCAAATATTATACTTCTAGGAATCATTAGTATCTCTTCAATAATATCACTTATTAATTTATCTTGAGGTTAGAATAAATAGTGAGTAAAGAAATAAGAAGTAAATTGGTGAGAGACTGAATTTTTCCTCCAATCTGTGCTATAGACTAGTCTTTCATACATAGTTCAGAAAACCAAACCCATCTTTATGAAATGATGAAACTGACCATTGCAGTGATCACTAGGGCATTTGGTAGTGGTCGAAGTGTTTTTCTTTTTTAAACACATGTACATTCTTTCAGAGTAAGAAGGGAATGAGCCTATTCAGAATGAGAAAGTATAAAGTGCTTCTAAAGACAAAAAACCCACATAAGAACAGATCTCTACTACAGTGGTTAACAGTGCTCCTAATATGCAAACCAATCGCCCTCCTGCCTCCAGGATGCTAAATCTTTAGCTCTTCAGAAGACATTTAAAAGCAAGTCTGACTGGAGTATCACTGTACCTTCCATGTCTCTTTCCAAACATATTCCTGCTGAAATTACAAAGCAAAATCCATTATGGCTTAGAGCTTGACCCATTTTGTATTTAAGATATGATTCCAGAGGAGTGTCACCTGGCAAGGAGGAGGACAGGAAGGGAGGTGGGGCCGGGAGGAATAACTTTCACAAGCACTGGCCAATTCCTTATTGTGTATCATCGTGTATGAGAAATAAGTAGAACTTTTAAAGCTTCAAAGGAGAACTGACAGTACTTATTTTCAAAGGACAGCATCCTATTGATCTTGTCAGAGGGAGAGGGCTCTAGAGACCTGGGGCTTCACTTCAATACAAAGGCAGGTGGAAAGTGGTACACACTGGAAACTGTAACATTAAATTTTTAATGAGTCTGAAATGAGAAATACCCCCTTTACCATTCATCAATACATTATTTACAATGAAGTACAGAAAAATGACACTAGTATTTAATGAAGATCACAGGCACCTTTCTGAGCACTTTAACTCAATCCTTGTAAGAATAGAATCCTATGAAGTGAATGCTTTTAAATTTCCACTCATAGATAAAGAAACGGATGCAGAGACGTTAAGAAGTTCACCTAAGTAACATAACTGTTAAGTAGCAGAATCAAGTTGCAGAGAAAGACAGAACAATTCCACAGTCCAAGCTCTTACTTAGCCATATACTTTCTTTATCCCCAGAGGGACTCCAAACTGTGCAGTCCCACTGTGAGTTCCTTGGTGGGAACCCAGTGCAATTTCCTGAGTTCTTCCAACCAGCAGTGATTTAGATAAGTCTTAGACTTTGCCTTAAAAACACAGAAGAATGGGTGAAAATTAGCAGGAC